TGAGATAAATAAAGTGAGATAAAGTGAGATAAATAAAGTGAGATAAAGTGAGATAAATAAAAAAAAAAAAAGCACGAAATAAATAAAAAGCAGAAAAGTAACACAAACAAATAGAAAGAAAAAACCCGTTTGATTCTGAAAATTTTTTTTTTTTTCTGGATGTCAAAATTTATTCGCTTCAAAGATATTGTTATGATGAGAAATCAAAAACCTGTTATTTATGAATTCCATGAGGAAATCTATACAATATAATGACTGTATAAATATAATAATAAATTAATAAAATAGATTAAATACAGCGTTGACAGCTTTCTTCTATTTGTTGATTAAAAAAGAGATGTATGTGCTTTCTTCACGGGGCTTGCTCAAAACAAGGAGTAGTTATATAATAATATCAAAGGGGTAGAATGCGAAATAAGGAAAAAAAAAAAAAAAAAAAGTCAAAGGGATTTTGGAAATTAAAATTGACGTGAGTGCGTCTTTTTTATTATTGTTATATTATATTTATTTTTTTTTAATGTATCGTGTGTAATTAAGAAAGTTTTTTTATGATACTAACTTAAAAAATTTTTTTTTAAAAGAGATTCTTTGTTTCTTTAAATAAAAAAAAAAAAAAAGAGGCCGGTACATAGAAATGTAAACCGGCCGACATTTACATGGCAGGCAATGATGCATATATATATTTTATTTCTATTACTGTAAGATTATATCATTTGATTTATGCATACGTATTTAATCAAGATTTATAATCTATGTTACGTTTCATTTTTTTTGTTTGATTATTGGACCGCAGAATAAATAACAATGAATTCGGAGAGGGCTGATAGGAAAATATTTTAACGTTAAGGTTTCACAATATAATTTTATTATCCGGGACTATCAATAATAAACAATTTAAAAATAATAAACGGAGTTGGTCCGAGAGGGTTTTAAAAAAAAAAAAAATCATCGCATATAATTTATTCATCAAACCTGTGTTTTTCATTTTTATCTTGGTGTTTAACTTGATGCATAGATATTAACACCAAAAGGAATGCATAAATAAAATCACAAGGTTCGGATGAAATAAACAAGGTTAAATATTCTAGAGCACACGATAAAATTTGAAGATCATTAGATCACTGGAATTACCGAATTATAATAATTACATTATCTGTTAAAGAATTAACCTTTACATTAACCTTTACATATTACATATAGTATTAACCTTTACACATGTTTTTTACCGATTTTACAGATCTTCTTTAATCATTCTATTTATCATTCTATTTGGAATACTTTATTCTTAACAGATTTAAACAGATCTTGCTATTGAAATTCCTATTGAGCTCCTACTCTGAACCCTTTTTTACTAATCTTAACTAACTTTATTCTTGTAAACTATGATTCATTTTCATAAATAGATTTCATCGAACTGACGAAACATTTAAAGAATTGAAACTTCTCCTTAAAAATGACAAAATATATTATGTAAATCAACGGAATTAACATAAACAAAAGAAAAAAAGCATAGAGCCAAATAAAAATGATTTAGATGATTTAGATGATTTAGATGATTTAGATTATTTGGATGATTTAGAAAACCATGGAACTCTAAATACAATACTAAAATAAATAATAAAAAATAAAATAAAAAATAAAATAAAAAATAAAATAAATATTAAAATAAATACTAAACAACAACATAACAGATAAGAATAGCTCCAGGGATACATGAATGATGTCAAAAAAGTCGGATAGATAATAATAATTCAAGTAATTGCAGATTTAATACATTAATAATACATTAATAATACATTATCTGTTATTATCTGTTATTAATTATTTAACCAACATTCAAAAAATCAATGAACGTCCAATGATCTACAATTTTTTTTGATACACATGCTTCCTTACAGTACATACTTCCCTATTACTTCAAAGCATAGTATGAAACCACTTTTTTGGAAAATTAATGTTTTTCAAAATCAATATTACTAAATCATATCATTCTTTTTATTTTTTCGTTTTAACGAAAAATATCAAAAAAAAAAACTTCTTTATTATTATTGTAATGTCTGTAATGTATCAAATTCGTTAATTACAATTATAAATTATAATTAGATCAACGACTAAGGAATAAGAACTACAGTCTACAGTAGTAGGGAAAACTTTATGATGTAAAAAAGCAATGCACGTCCAAATGAAACGCATCTGTAATCTGTAAGGGTATTAGAAAGTTTATCATAAAAAAAAAATTTTTATGATCATATATAAAATTAGTACCTTTTTTCTATAAATAATTTAAATCAATACATTTGAACTATTTATAAAAGAGCACTAATTGAAGATTTCTAAATATATATTAGATATATCTGATATACATTAGATATATATGATGTATTTGACATTATTATATAGTTATATTAGATATTATAATAATAGATAGATATAATATAGATAGATATATATGTAATAGTTATTTATTATTGATTTACTTTTGATGTTCTTTATCTTACCGCGCATTTAAGAGCATAGATTTACTACGTACAACTAATCAAACATAATTCAAACATTATATATTTTCATTCAACTTTTAGTTCAATTGGTTAAACTTTTTTTTTCCCAAGGTTAAACTGTAAAAGAGAAAAACATTGTAACAACTATTTTCGTTAAAGTAACGATTCCCTTACTTTTTTTTTTTTAATTAATTCAATTGGTTTTTTTTTTTTTTTTTTGCCGATTCGATGCACAATTGATAGTCGTATTAAAAATTTAAAAAAGACTAGTTTCCCGTTCGCTTACCAGACATTATTTTGCTAGTGAGGACCCGTGTGTACGTATACGTACATATATAATATATATATAAGTATACATATATTCTGAATATATATTCTGTATATATACATACATAGTCTGTATATATTTACATAACATACGTATCTGATATATATGTATACATATAATCTGTATATACAGTATTTACATAACATATATACATGTATAATACATGTATAATACATGTATAATACATGTATAAATATTTACATAACATATATACATATCATATCAGTTATATACAAATATACATATATACAAATACACATAACATATACATATATACAAACACACATAACATATACACATATACGTATATCGTACATGCATATGCATGTACGTCTCGTTCTTAGGAAAAAAGGATCGTTGATTTAACTTTGGAAAATTCTATTATTTGAATTTTAAATTTTTTTTTTTTACCAAAAAAAATTATGGAAAAAGTCTTTGATCTATCTTACTGTATAATCTATCTCACTGTATACAAGAGAGCAAAGAAGAACACAAGTAATAACTAAAGAGAAATTCCGAATATTTTGATATTGTGTATATATGTTTGTTTAAAATTTTAAAATTGTAAAATTGTTTGAAAAATAAAGAAAAAAATAAAGTCATAAAAAGAAATATGAACTTTAAAAACATTGTTGCAAGAGTTTTTTGTGAAACGTACGTAGTTGGATCATTCATGCGCAAATATTCGATCATTTTCGTGTTTTTAGAGTCAATATTTATTTTTGTATTTTCGAACAACCAGAAAAGTAACACCAATCAGGAACTTCTCCTGCCGAAAAAAAAAACGCCTTCTAAGTAAAAAAGTCATTAAAAAAAAAAAATCCGCATTTATTGTCATTCAAATCCGGTCACATAGAAAGGAACCCTTACATGAAAGAACCAATGTCTTTAATAACCATAAAAAAAACCGGTTCTTTCACATCTTCTTAAGCATATCATTCGTAATAAAGACCATGACTAAAGTTTGACATGTAAAGTGATGAAAATTTTATAAAAAAATGTATAATAAAATGTATAACAAAATGTAGAATGAAATAATTCACAGATAATTCAACAGATAATTCGCAGATGATTCGCAGATGATTCACAGATAATTCACAAAGAATTGAATGGTTTATAGTTAATGAACAATCAACAACGAAACAAATAATCAATTACTTCTTGTTATTTTGAAACGGTAAAGATTTTCATGCTTGAATATAATCAGATCTTCGTCTTTTAACGTACAGTACGTACGTACGTACGCACCTTTCACGTATTTAGTAAAATAAAAAATTTCTGATACATTTGCACATTTGTTCATTTTTGTTCATTTTGATCATTTTATTCATTTTGTACTATTTGTACGTACTATTTTGTACTATTTGTACGTACTATTTTGTACTATTTTGTACTATTTGTACGTACTATTTTGTACTATTTTGTACTATTTGTATTATTTGTGCTTACGGACGTACTTACGGACATAAACGTAAATACGTACCGTATTTCCGTATTTAGAAAAATAATGAACCAAAAATTAATATACTCGGAGCCCGAGAGTATGGAACAACCAATTTTTTATCCAGCTTCCTCCTTTATCTCCTTTATGCATGCTAAAGTAGTACTACCAACACGGAGAAAACATTCTAGTGGTAGAACTCTTTTCATGTTTCATTAAGCAATTAAAGTTTATAAAAATAAGTTTTATACGACAATATCTACTTCTTTTAAACCTTTCTATTGTTTGACACTGTGCATCAATCAAGCTTGTTTTGTTTCCCTTTTTTTCTATCAAACTCTGTTTATGAATGTATATAATTATTAAAGATTTTCTTTTTTTATAACGTCAATTCATTTCTTTTCTTAATTTCTTAAAAGTTTTACTTCCAATCAAATCAATCTTTTATAATATTTACTTTTATAATTATTATTAGTTATTATTAGTTATTATTATTATTATTATAAATCTGTAACGATAATGAACGATAATACTTCAAAGCGGACAAAATAAAGCAGCTGTAAGGATCATTGTTTCTCTTTTTGAAGTTTTGAATAAGGATTGTTAGGATCTTTAAGTTACCATTATCTCATATTTATAAAAAAAGTCTTTGTTGAAATGTTTGTTGAAATGTTTGTTGAAAAAATGTTTGTTGAAAAAAAATGTTTGTTGAAAAAAATGTTTGTTGAAAAAAATGTTTGTTGAATTGAATGTGGTTACAGGATTAGATTTATATCAAGTAAAAATCTTTGTGTTTATAACACACTATAACACACACGTAATGTACGTGCAGTACCTACTCTACTTACCAACTTAATTACGAACTTAATTATGAACTTAATTATTATCTGTTTGAACTTAAATTATTATGAACTTAAATATAATGTATAATTTTTTAGTTCGTCAAATCTCGCATCATATACCTAATAAAATTTGAAGGTGACATAAAATTTCAAGGGGTAGTTTCATCTTGTGTGTTCTTGTGTGTGTGTGAATAAGTTAATTTGCACCCATGTGAAGGAAATGTGAAGAAAATGTGAAGGAATAAGGGAATGTTTTATTTATGGGCTGTAAAATATATATATATATTATCATGCAGCAAACTTAAAATCATTTATCCTACATTTTTATTTTATTTTGTATTACATGTGAAAAATTTTTAATTATCATAAAAATTTTTAATTATTGTAATACCAATACTCCAAAAAATTACAAAAAACTTTCGACATTGTCTTATATAGGAAGCTGACAAAATTATAATTCTGTACTTGAGGCTTTTTTTTTTTTTAACCTTAGCAGTTAAGTGAAGCCATACTGTACGTACAATATGTACGTAACATATGTACATAATTCATAACAGGTATTACAGTGTATATTTCTGATATATTTGACGTAATTAATATTTAATAATAATTAATAATTAATATTTAGACATAACGTTAAACGTTAACTTTACGTTACGTTACGTTATGTTACGTTAACTGATATCGTGTGACTTTTTAACGTTATACGTATCGGTATAAGTATTATAAGTATTATAAGTATCGGTATACACTAATATATTAATAAGTAATAGTGGTAAACAGTGGTAAATGCTGAAATGACGATATTAACTATAACTAATTAAAACTAATTAAAATTATATAATTAAAAGTAACATTATACGTACGTAACATTAACGTTAATGCTATCACATTTTTAACATTTTTAACATTTTTAACATTTTTAACATTAATAGTTAATGCAAAGACTTATTAAGAAATCACATGCAACTTATTTTTTCATTCTTACGTACGTACGTACGTACGTAGTTCGAATTGAAGATCTAGATCACAATGTTGATAGTTAGTATTAGTACAATTACAGAATTAAAATCAATTAAACCCCATATTAGATTCGTACGTAAGTATAAATTATCGTTTATCGACATGTAACAATAATTATAATTAATAATTAAATACTCTTATGTAAGGGATCCCGCAGTGATTGTTGGCGATTTGAGCAATTGTTTATAATATATGTTTAGATAGATTGACCTTATTACTGTATTAACTGGTCTCTAACCAATTAAATATATTATTTTAAATAGAGTTTACCAGTTTTTGTATTAGTTTTTTTTATGTGATTTTAAAAGAAACCGATTAGGAATTAATTGTTGTGAATTGTAGATCCACGTTCGATCTTGTTCGTCTTTTATCAAATTTACTTATAACCATCGCAACTATCGCAATTATTTGCAACTATTGCAACTATTGCAAACTTAGCAGATAGTTTTAAAAAAATTTTTATCTTTCTTATTCTAATTAAAAAGAAAAAACGACCAATTCACTATCATTATCATTCATTATCATTCATTATCATTATTATTGTTATTATTATTATTATTTCAGGAACGATTAAACATTTTGATGGTATGATAATAAATCTTTAATTATTTTTCTATTAAATCTTTAATTATTCTATAATTAATGTATTTCAGTATTTATACGTGTAAAATTTCGATCTTTTTATCCCCCATTCAACCCTGTTTGCTTTTTTTCCTCTTAAATTATACCCACTCTTAAAATTCCATCTCTAAAATCTTTTAAATATTACTCATGTTCATGTTATTCATCTGAAATAATCTTTTTAAAAAATTATTTATTTTTTTTTTTTGTTTCGTAAATCTAAATGTCTATCTATTATCGTTATAACTGCCGCCATTTATTGCTACTTCTATACTGTATTTAATCACTAACTATCCAATCACTGATTTAAATTTTGATCAAAAATTTATGTTTCACAACAATGAAAAGTTTGCTTAAATCACAAGCTTGAATTTGTGTTTGTTTGTATCGATTTTTTGGCCGTAAGGAGTTTTTAACTTACCATTTTTGTCTTTTTCTTATCTGCTGACCTTTCTTGTATCCCAATATTTTTTTTTAGCACCTGAAAAAAATTACCTCCTACGAAAATTTTTTTACGATGCTTTTATTCTTTTGACTAAGATATCCGTTAAAAGTTATTTGAAAAAAAAAAAAGTGTATGATTCTTTTAATTATTTACAATACACAATTCTTATGATTTTTAATTAGAATCATATCAATCATGTTAACATTCTTATTATTAAACATTAGGTAATTTCTTTTTTTTTTTTTTTTTCTTTTTATCGCTTGATTTATTCCGCTGTTTTTTTTTAAGCCTTGCTTTTTTATCCAATCGGATTTCTCTCCATTTTAAATTTCTTTCTTTGGAGCATGGGTTGCTGCGTATCAAGAACCACTGATGAAGATTCTTTTGACCAAGAAAATTCTGAAACGTTTATTCCTAGAGGAGGTTTGTTTTCTTTTCAATTTTTAAATTTTATTATCTTGTTACTTTTATTTTTAGCTTCTTTCCTTTTTCATTTTAGGTAACAAACCATTTTCTAAGAAAGGTGTCACATGGACTTCTGAAGCCCCTATAACTATACGTCAATTAAAAAAAAAACGTGACGCGTTTTGGGAAACTGCTCCTAGTTATGAAGTATGTGTTTTCTTTAAAAATATTCTTTATCATAATTCTTTTTATAAATCTTATATATCCTATATATATATATATCTTTTACTCTTAGGGTTATAAAGTAATTTGGGATGCTCTACGTCATGCTTGTGAATCTACTGACACAGAGTATGCTCAATTAATACTTAACGCTGCTAAAATAACAATACCAACCGGTAACTTGGTTGATGGTTGTTACGATGAACTTGGAAACAGATATGCAATTCCTGCATATTGCCTTGTTGATCCTACAAACCTTATTCGTAATGAAGAAGAAAATTCTGATGATGATGAAACTATTCCTGTTCTATTATTAGAACAATCTACTACTGAATTACTTCCGGTTATAATAAGGTTATCCAATTCTGCTGAAGATATACGAATTAACGTTAATCCTAAAATAGATACAATTGATACTTTAAAGTTAAAATTATGTGTAAATCAAAAAATTGATCCTAAAAAATTTATTGTTAGAATTTTCTTTCTTGGTTCTTTATTGGATGGAAAAACTAAATTGTCTGATGTAAAATTAGATCAAGGACAAATTTTACAAGCATTGATTAGTGAAATTCCTTAATTTTTTTTTTTTTTATTTATACTAAAAAGTTTGTTAACCTAACTTGTGTTTCTTATTCTTTAAGTTTTTTTTTTTTTTTTTTTTAAAAAAAAAAAAATAGAATTATAACTTGTGGAATTTTGTGGACAATTCAATGTTTGTATTTATTTACCAGGAGTTAATGGCTATAATCAAAATTTTATAATTATCATAGGCATGATAAAAAAAAAAAAGGTAGTATAGGTAGATAGGGAAGATACCAAAATTATGTTTAAAAAAAGTTTTAAAAAAATATATATAGCAATGCGTTTGTATAATTTAATTTTTATTTTCATTTTATTTTCTAATATCTTTTAAAATATGTCTACAAAAAAAAATTAACAATTTAATACAGCTATTTTTAATATCTAGTATTAAATGTATATGTATTTATTATATTTATATTCATTTACAATTACAATTACAATTATGGATTCTTGTTAACTTTGTATTTTTCATATATTCTACCCGTAGAAACCTTATCTAATTATTATTTAGTTATTATTATTATTATTATTTAGTTATTATTATTATTATTATTATTATTATTATTATTATTATTATTATTATTATTATTATTATTATTATTATTATTA